CTGGTTGAGTGCACCCCATCTCTTTCAGGACCCCCCCCCCCCCCCCCGCCACCCGGATTCCCCCCCCCCTCCCCAAATGATCCTCAACCCCCCCCCACCTCCCAACACAGGCTTTGTTCTGCTCATTTTCCCACTCCCTCAAGACGGAAAATTGAAATGAGGAGAGGACGGAAAGGTTTAAGATGGGGGAGACGGGATTTCCTGGACCTTTTGGGGACAGACTCGGGCCTCCGGTTAGCGGTTAGCGGCTAGCAGCTAGCGGGTCAGAATCAGAAATACTTTAGTAATCTCAGAGGGAAATTATTTTTTTTACAGGCTCCATAAGTAAAACAAAGGCATATACATATACACATATATATATACAGAATTCCTCATATAATATATCTAGATATATACATAAAAAACTATATGTATGTATATATACAGTGGGGAAAATAAGTATTTGACCCCTTGCTGATTTTGCAGGTTTGCCCACTTACAAAGTATGCAACAATCTAAGTAAAACAAAAGCATATACACATATACATGTCTGTACATATATACATATATATATATATATACAGAGTTCCTCATATAATATAGCTAGATATATACATAAAAAAAATATATGTATATATACAGTGGGGGAAATAAGTATTTGACCCCTTGCTGATTTTGCAGGTTTGCCCACTTACAAAGAATGCAACGATCTATAACTTTAATCATACGTACATTCTAACAGTGAAAGACAGAATCCCAAAGAAAATTCCAGAAAATGACATCATATGAATTTATAAAAATTGATAACCATCTGATGAGGAAAAATAGGCATTCTTTATAAGTGGGCAAACCTGAAAAATCAGCAAAGGGTCAAATACTTATTTCCCCCACTGTTTATACATATCTGTACATATATACATATATATATACAGAATTCATCATATAATATAGCTATATATATATATATACATAAAAAACTATATGTATATATAGATACACTTACAAAGAATATATATATACACTTACAAAGAATGCTTATTTTTCCTCATCTGATGGTTATCAATTTTTATAAATACATCTGATGTGATTTTCTGGAATTTTCTTTGGGATTCTGTCTTTCACTGTTAGAATGTACATATGATTAAAGTTATAGATCGTTGCATTCTTTATAAGTGGGCAAACCTGCAAAATCAGCAAGGGGTCAAATACTTATTTCCCCCACTGTATATACATATCTGTACATATATACATATATATATACAGAATTCATCAT